GAGGGGGGGGGGGGGGGGGGGGGGGGGGGGGTGAAAGGGAAGATGGGATGGGGGAAGGGAGAGAGACTGGTGGTATTTTTCCTAGTGGAACAAGGGGAGGGTTAGTTTCTTTCATAGAAATTATAAAACAGAAAAAGGAAAGAGGAAGAGAGAGGAAGGGAGATTGATTTGGCTATTCCATGTGAGTGAGCTATTGTCTACACCCACTGATTGAAGGTATAAATAAAGATGGGTCAGACATTGTGAAGAACATCCTGGGGAAGGGCCGGAGGAGAGCAGGGAGAAGAGTGGAAGGGGACGGAGAGCTGGTGACAAGGAAGCCACAGCCTCTCTGCCTCTGCCTCACTCTCAGAGACGGGTCTGTCAGGGCCACAGCATAGGCTGGATGGCCTGGAGGCAGTGAGCTGGACAAGATGACCTCAAGAGAGCCTGGCCAATGTCTTGGAATCTGGGATCCTGTGATTCACAAAGATATGGTTACAGATGGTAGAGAGACAGAGAAGCTGCAGGCAGAGTTTAGAAAGTATGCATTGCATTGGGGGAAGAAGGAGGAGGGGGAAAGAAGGTGGAAGGGAAACTTCTCTGGAACCTGGAGCCAGGTCCCTGAGCCAATTCTGGGGCCTGGGCCACCCCCCTCTAGGACCCTTCTTTCCTGACCAGGACAGTTCTAGGGTCCTCTGTGCTCCCAGCCTGGCTGCTGCTAGAATGTCAGAGTGGGCTGCAGTATGCTGTTGCAGGTCCAGCTGCTTTCCTGGCCACCACTGGAGCTCTGGCCTGGCCAGCATTCTCTGAGAAGCCGGGAGAAGAGGGCCATCGAGCAGGTCCTAGACAACAGGGAACAGCATGGAAGCCCCTGGTCCCAAAGCTCCCAGCTGAAATGATACTGGGTGGGGGGATGGGGGGAGGCAGGAGGTTCGGGCCAACCAGAACGCTCAGTCCAGCCCATCAGCCCAAACCTGACCTCGGAGGGCAGGGGTGGGGTGGGGTGGGGTGGGGCAGGAGTGTAAAGAGTTCTGATCTCGCAGAGTCAAAGATCCTGGGAAAGGGAGTCTGGACTGAGACCAAAGGAATGAAGTGTCAGAAATAGAGGAGAGCAAGGCCGCCAAGGCAGGCAGGAGAGACAGGTTCTCTCTGAGACACATCTGAGGCAGTCGTGGACACCTTATCACCCCAGCCCCTCACTCTTCACCCAGCTCGCCCTGCAGCTGTGGCCATGAAGGCCTCTGTGTTCTCCCACACCTGCCCTCCTCACCTCCTCCCCCACTCTCTGCTTCCCAGCTTCAGGGTCAGTCTGCAAGGGACCAGCCCTCTCTCCCTTTGGCTTGGCTCCCACCCAGCAGTCCCTCCTGAACAAAGGAACCCCCACAGATACAACCCCCAGAAAGGTGAATCACCTAATTCAACAACACTCCAGAAACCTATCTCCATCACCTACACTGTCCTGGGCCTGGGGGGGTGGGGACAGAGGTAAGAAGTGTAAGGGGGATAAGAGGATGGGGGGGCTTAAGACAAAGCTCTGCCCTCCAGGAGTAGGGAAAAGAGAGACCCAAGAGGAGACGGTTGTCAGTAAAATGCAGTATCTGGAACTGGCATAGTTGTCCAACGCATGGGGTGCAGTGGGAGGACAGAGGGACAGCTTCATGGAGGAAGTGGTATTTTAACTGTAAGGATGAGAACAATTTGGACAGATGGGGAGGGAGGAAGGGAAGACAACAGTCATCAGGGCAGGACCCTGTCCCCACACCTTGAGAAAGGGCAAAGTTAGGAAATGTGTGTTTGGGGAACAAGAGAGAGATCCCTTTACAAAGTTTTGCTTGGGATCCTGGATTTTAAATTTTCACCCCAGGGACCCTGGGCAAGAAAAGCTGGGCTGTGAAGGGGGTACTACATTTACTGAATACCTCCTAAGGTCAGATCATTTTGGAGGTCGTCCCACCTAATCCTCCAAGCAAGCGTGCCGGGTAGGGAGACTATTATCCTTAATTTACAGTTGAGACTTGGGGGCAAAGAGGGGAAGTGACTTGCCCAGGGTCACAGAGCTGCTACTGCGTTATGCTAAACCAGGAGCAAAGGACGCATGTTCCCTAGCTGGGACATAGGTCGTCCTCGACTTGCCCCCTCAGTGACACGCGCGAGGGACGTCACTCCCGCACCAAGGGAGAGGGACAGCGGCCACCGCTCCCTGGGTGGGCATCCTACTCTATCTGCTCAGAAGACAGGGATCTGCCTGCCCCACTCCTTCCAAATCCGGGGGATGCGGGGGAGGAGCGTAGGGTGGGAATCCAGCCAATCACGCGGCGATATGCAAATAGACAAGGCCCTGTCTTCTTAAGATTGGTTGACCCATCAGCGCTCTTGTCCAAGTCCCTCCTCTCTAAACTCTGAGTTATTCCTGGCTGGTCCTTGCGGCTCTGGAGACGTAGAAGGAAAAAAAAAGTCTTCAGGTCCGGATCTTTGAGCTGTCCTGGCCGGGAACACACCTTCTCTGCCCCTGCCCCAAACCCCAAAGCTCAAAGGTCCCGCAACCTTCCCTGCCTCGTCTTCTCCAGCTAGGACCAGGTCCAGAGGCTGGGTGTCGAAAGACGCCCCATCCCTTGGCTGTCCAAGCCCCCCCAGCCCACCCCCGCCTTC